CGGTGAAGATGCGGCCCACGGTAGCCAGGGCCGTTCCTCGCGACCGCAATTGCGGGGCCCTCCCGGCTTCGATATTAGTTTTCGACGTCCCACGTCTCGACCCTCTTTTCTGCCCCCTCTCCAAGAAGAAGGGACTGCGTTGCAGACCACTCTCTAGGCCGACCCGTCGTCGCGAAAACGTTTAACTGGTTATTACGGTTATAGAGCGTGCGCGTATCCATAGCCTCGCGATAATCTATATTCGGTTTTGTTTTTCAGTTCCAAAGGACGATCCATCCTCCATTATGGGGGAAGATGTGGATGGGACTGGGTTAGGTTAGTTTTCGCGTTCTGTTCCATTTGATTTTATTCTCCTCCTCCTCCTCCTCCTCCTTTTCCTTTCCGTTGAAAGAGGGGAGAAAGAGAGAGAGAGACTCTTCCGTCGATTTCGTGGTAATAACGTCGAATGTAATCTTCTGGGGGCCAATCAGTATACTACTACTCCCTCTCTATTCATTTATTTGTTCTGTTTCAGAACGATGGCGGAGGAGAGCGCGGAGTACGCGAAGGGGATGCTGGGATTGCTGCGAGGGCTATTAGCGGTTCATCGACAAGTAGTAATCTGTGTTAATTTATCTTGCCCTCGGTATTGGGTGTATAATCTTTAAACATATTAACTTTTTCTTTTAATCAAATCTGTTTCGATTATCGCAAAGGAGGAATAATAATATTGTCTATTTTATTTGTTTATTTGTTTTATTTTGAATGAATAATCGTAAATTATTTTTTCTTAACACTCGCACCAAATCTTATTCAAACTTATTTAAACCTTTAATTTTTAATTTCAATTAAATAATCGTGCCGCTTGATATTCTAATATAAAATACTGGCATACCATCGCAAATTTAAAAGAAGGAAGAAAAATTCAAGCTTTTAATTATCCATGATCCGACAAATCAAAGAGCAATATTAATTAATTCCTCCAAAATGAAAGCAAAGTTACGACAGATTTCACCCGGCACCCATTTATCAACCGCTTCATTAACTTATCGATCCCCACGACGAATTCAAAAGAGCCGGGCCTGAAACCGATGATTGACTCGTAACCCACTTGACCGTACACCTTCGATACGTTACACACAATTTCCCTGGCCAATAATTATACGCTATAATTAGAAATCAAAGCTATTCACGGGGCGTTAATGATACTTCCGCGTCGCCGTGTTAAATTTGTTCCAGCCTCTGCCCTCCCGAGCAATATTTTCACGCGATCCGTGCCCTCTCGCCCTCGGGTCTAAACGAGCCCTTCCTCCCCTGCCCTTCTTCGCCGGCCGGCTCGAGGCATTTCTTTTTTTTCTTTTTTCTTTTTTTTTTTTTCGCCTCGATGCCGCGTTCTAAATGCCGGTGATGAGATCATTTATCATCGTACGAAAACGCGAGTCTCCCTCCTGCCGTGGCCGGCATCACGCTTCCGCGCTTCGCTCGCCTTCGTTCCCACGCGCGAGAGGACCGTAGCCGAAGATCGGGACACGCGGGTCCATCCGGATCTCGTACAATACTCTAACGTGTCCTGCTTTTACTTGGGATTGGCAGGCATTTTCGTGAGGTCGACGAGCTTGTTACATGGAAAACTTCTTAGAAACGGTAAGAAACAAGGTATTTTCTCGTGTCGGAAGTTGTCGATTCTTCGTTGATTATTGATGTTATTTTGTAGGTTGTGGTAAGAAAGTTGAGGCTTAAGTTCGACGAGCATTGGTTTCGAATTTCGAGATTATACGATGTATTTTTATGATATTACCGCGCTATGAGAAGATGGAGATAACTTACAGATAACGAGTTAATAAGAATATCGAGCATAGATATTAAAATTACTTTTACTTAGTTCCAGGCCTAAGAAAATTATTTCAGTTTTGACTTTAAGATCGTTAAATTACATACAAGGTTTCAATATCTTTCATCTAACAGAATTTTAAAATTAAATGCGAGCGTGTAACGTTTCGACAAAACGAGCATGAGAATTTAAGCGACGATTGGAGGATCGCGTCACGATTGGTCCATTGGAAAGAATCATCGTTATTACGGAGAACTTTCATTTGACTTTCATTACACGAAAGTTCATCGTATGCTGGGCGAAGCGCGCACGCGTTACGTAAACGCACACACGTTTGACCCGGACCATTTTCGAGCGATTAAGCCCGAGAAAGCACGATCGAGCTGGTTGCCGATTGTCTGGCTCGCCGCTGACTCTAATTAGTCACACCCGCGCGCAGGTGAATCACGTTCGCCGAGCGGGTTGCCTGCCTCGAGGCTCCTCGCGTTTATTCGAGGAGAAAGCGCGCGATGCGTTCGCCGCGATTTCGCGGACAAAACGAATTCTAATGGCGTGAACGCGACCCGCGTTTCATCCACACGTGCGAAACGAACGGTGTTTATATTCGTGTAACGTGCACGGCTCTTGATGTTTACAGCCACGGGGAGATCAGCCGTTTTAATTTGATTCGACGTGGATAGTGGTCAAAATCGTTGTTTCGAAGGTAAATAACGGGAGGAGAATAAAACAATTTGACAGAATTATATACAGTGTTTCTCAACCATTTTTTAACGTGGCCTTCCTTCGCGATAGTCAAACAATCTCTTTTGATATTTATGGAATTTGTTTATCGACATAAGTAAATAATAAGTCTGTAAATTACATAGATTACACTGTTATATAAACTATATAATCGAAAAGAACGCGATAATGCGAAAAAATCGAGACAGCGCCTTGGCAAAGGGTATGTAGACCCCTGTTCCGGGGATCACCTCCACGGACTCGAATCTCCGTAAAGATTTTTTTTAACTTTTATGCGTAAAATCCATCTCCAAAATTGAAAAATGAATGAAAAAATGAGATGAATGAACGAAGCATATACAAATGTTTGTAAAAGATCAATAATGTTTCGATTAAAAGTCCAAGACGTGACAAGAAATTTTCTATTAACTAATTCAGGAAATTCCATTGTCGAAAAAATCGAAATACCTTGTTCCTTGTCGAGTCGTCAGAACTTCCACTGCCTACGCGAGGTTTCTTGACGGAACCTCCGGGACAGTGCAACCTCAAATTTGTTTGAACGAATCCAAGCAACAGCTGGAACGAACGCTACAAGTAGCGGGCTCCGTGTGTCTCGCCCACGTGCGCCTGTTGAGGACGTTGAGGCTCGCGCCGCTGAATTTGCATAATGCGGAATCGAATTAATGGATTTAGAGCTGACGTCGATAAATATATCGGCACGAATTTGCGCTGCTCTGAGCCGTTCAACCGCTTTGATTAGGATGAATGTAGTCTTTGTTCTGCGTTGTCGGTATATTCGGTTATAAAATAATAAAAAATTTAAAAAGAAAGGATAAGAAAAATACAGATAATAAAATAGATTACACGCTATCATCGCGAGGATGGAAAGATGAACAAAACGAAAGTACACAAACGATATCGATCGCTATTAAAAATGACAGATCATCACAATCAATTACATTTTAAACAATTTTAACCGATCGATTAGAAATCTCCTTTGGCATCGACGTACCAAAATTCGGCGTTATTAAATTTCACCGTCATCTTCTATCGAAACGCATCAAAGCGGAACGTCAATTACGCGCGAGAGATGGACCGAGATGACGCGTGCACCTAGATGGCAGTACCGAGATTGTTACCTCTTATTCGAACATTAGATTCCAACATAAGACCGGTGAGCGTAGTAATAAACGAAGAAAGGTGTTAGATACACCCATCTAGCCCCGTGATCCACCGTTATTCCTGCAGTCACGATGACCCTAACGCGGGTTTCCCATCGTTAAACCAATAAGTAGCAAAAAATATGGCAAACACAAACGCCGATAGCCAAATCCGGCGCTGTTAAAGTACGTCCACTAATGCGTACCGGGCTATAAACTTTCAAATACGAGTGGTAAATCAGCGAGGACGGTAAATAGCGGAGAGAACAGGAGGTGGAAAAAATGAGGAAAGGTCGTGATAGGGAAATATCTCGGCGCGCTTCCATCCGCTTGTCCCGAAGCGCAAAGGCCCCCATTACTTGTGTCCACAATGTCGAGATATTAACCTGCTTCGGCTGAATGGCCACACGGTTCAACTCGGCCCGGCGAGCTCCGGTTCGAACAACAACCTGTGGCAGCGAAAGGGGTAGAGGGGTAGAGGGGGGAGGAGGGGACAGATACGAGAAACGACCACACTTTGCTTCACCTTGCGCACGTCGTGCGGAGTCCACGAAGTTGTGCCACTTGTCCTGGAATTCTCAGGGACGAGCAGCGTTCGTACGAATGACTCGTCTTCCGCCTTCGATTCTCGGTTCCGCTGAAATTCTACGGACGTGGCTTCGTTCGAGGGCAAAAGGGAGAACAGCTCGAGGTTTTGGACGAATTTGATGGTTTCGAGGATTCGTGTAAGTATTCAGTTTGTCGATTCTGGATGTGATTTTATCTGAGAGAGGTACAACAAAACTATCTATGTCTGAACAAATGAAACACGTTAAAAAGTAAAAATTTAAATATGTTGTTTAAACAAAAGAAAATGATAATATCTCAATAATAAATATCTCAGTATTTTTAAAAAATGGATAATTTTAATATTGTATCTCTCATTTGATATATTTGCTATTGATTTATTTAAGTTACAATTTTTTATTATTAGAACAATTTTATTAATGGATCAAGAGTGGAAAATTTTAGATAATACAAATATAAGGATTTATTTTGAATAATCTGTTATAAAAAGTTGAGATCATTATAGATAGAATTCATGATCAGAATTCAGATTAAAAAATCTTTCTTTCCTCGCCCTAATATTACGTCATTTATTATATTTGTACTAGTTTCCCCTCACTAATCCCGTTAAAGAAATGAAATGACACGTAGATCATTTCCCACATTAATCCTAAAATACCGAATAGACACGAGAGGGATGGCCGATACCTGGCCATATCCCTTAACATTCAAAGAACAAGCACACTATCCAATAATTCAAGAACCAACATCGCCGTGGTACCTGCTCGAGGTACCTAACGAACCATTCCT